TCACGCTCCGTACTCTCCCCACATGGCTCCGTGTGACTTTTGGCTATTTTCCAAGCTGAAAATGCCGCTAAAAGGAACCCGAATTTAGTCGAGAGAAGACATCGTGCGGAATCCGACGGACCGGCTGACGGCCATTCCAAAAGATGCATTCCAGCAGTGTTTCCAGCAATGGCAGGAATGCTGGAAGAAGTGTATACATTACCAAGGAGACTACTTTGAAGGGGATTAGGGTTTTGTACCTCAAAGTCAATAAATTTATTTTTGCCGACCAAAGGTCTGATACTTTTTGAACACACCTTGTATAATGCTTTAACATTGGAACAGAGCAACTTTATTACACTCTTTTGTACCTGGCTTATAGTAACCCAAATAAAGTGGACGAGTTGACTTATATTAACAAAGACCTTTGTGTCTGTTAACCTCCATCGAAATTGACAGTTTATGGTCAGTGACCAAAATAAAGATTCGCATTGAATCTAAGTTTCTTCCATTTTGAGGCGACAATATAGATTATGTTCATAATCATCATTAGCAATTGATATCTTGAATCTGGATTTTCTGTGCAATTGCATAGTTTATCTGATTCCGTTGTCTGCCTATGATATATTTCCATATGGTAAAAACCAGCATGCCGGTTTAAGTGATGTTATACATCTCTTTTCCCAAGTGTCCTCTGGAGAGAAAACTAGTTATGTCACATGGCATCTTGTAGACATCAGTACTTATTCTAAAATTATGAAACTCTATGATTATGTTTAATGTCATGCTATGTTTTTGATGTATTCTTTCTAATTATGGAATGCCAAAAGTGCTTTTACTTTCTTGGCTGTTATGTATACATAACAAGGGAATGTATGGGAATCGTACCAAATTTGATCTTGGAGTCTTTTGCAAATCTTCACATCTTGAGGTCTGCCAAACATAAAATGCTATAGATATGTGTGTGTGTGTGTGTGTGTGTTGGAGTCTTTTGCTTAAAATCTCAAGATTGAGTAAAGATTAAGAAACAAAATTTGGCATAGTCGCTTGTATATAAGGGGCATTGATGCTATTACATTTTGGTGGTGAAAGGTCGAGGGGGTAGGACTTTTATAAATGTTAATGTGAATTTTGTTATTCTCTGTTATAAAACTCACATCTACCCTCAAAATTAAGCTTTTTGCCATTTTATAATAATAAAAAGTTTATATATAATTTTTAAACAAAATCTGACAGCACCACACAATTTTATTTTTTTTAAAATACTCAACAGCAGGGAAAGTTACGCAACTCTTTTTGCTAGATTTTTTAAAATTGTAATTTGATTGAAAAATGCAAAAATGAATTTGATAAAATTGCCAAGGATGATAATTGTAAAAATTCACAAATATATAATAAAAACACATCAATTTCAGAAACTGACTGTAAATTATCTCAACTTAACATCCACTTTGTGAGGAAGGTGTCACCTGGTGTATCTTTCAAACTCAGGGTAGATGTAACAGTTAGTGTGGCTGCATTGATCAACTAATGTCAATAAGCCACTGATTATTTTTTCTTGTAAACAAAAATTCTTTCTGGTTGTCAAGTTACAATGTTCTCTTTAACAACTAGTATAGTTATATCTGATTAATTTTACTTTTTAGTCACAGTTTATCCGGCATGCCTGTTCTTGGGACGTGATTATGTCTGGTGGGGGCTTCTGTGATCCAAGTTGACAGGCATAGCAAGATCTACCATTTCCTCAATCACTTTTCAGTATGCAAAGACGGGTGAGAGGGACAGAAGAGCACTGTCAAATTATTACAAAAAAAAACAAAACTACAGCATCACAAATTAATACAGAATTGGCTGCAAATGCAAGGGTACCTGTACCAGTGAAAACTATTGGACATGCACTACAAAGATGATATCAATGGAATGGTTGCAATAGCCAAATCTTTGTTGACACCACAATATAAATAGCGTGCGCAGAATACGAGTCAAGCTACACTTACAAGGGAACTGTTGGAGTGTCTTCTAATAAATTTTAATAAAATTTAGTTAATAACTAAGTTAAAAGTATACAAACTTTATTTTAAATTTGTAGCATTCACTAAAAGTGTTGATCAGAGTTATTAGCAATCAAATGTTGCACTACTTTATAGTAGTTTAGCACAATTATGCAAATTTTTAGAAGTGAAAGGGTCGCGGAGGAAGACGGCGATATTACATTTAGAATAAATTCTGGAATTTTCAAAAATGGTTGAAGAATTAATAAAATTTTGTATACTTTTAACATAATTATTAACTAAATTTTATTAATTCTTCTCCTATTTTTGAAAATTCCAGAATTTATTCTAAATGTAATGTCGCCGTCTTCCTCCGCAACCCTTTCACTTCTAAAAATTTGCATAACTGTGCTAAACTACTATAAAGTAGTGCAACATTTGATTGCTAATAACTCTGATCAACACTTTTAGTGAATGCTACAAATTTAAAATAGAGTTTGTATACTTTTAACGTAGTTATTAACTAAATTTTATTAAAATTTATTAGAAGACACTCCGACAGTTCCCTTGTTAGTTGAATTATTTTTGGAGATCACTGTCTTAAACCCACTGTCAAGTGTGGCAGAGGTTCCTGTATGATTTGGGATGCAATATCGTTTACCTTCAAGGACAACTATTGGACATAAGAAGTTTAAGTACCAGTCCAGAGGTACCTATATATATTCTAAGTGATCGATTTGTCCTGTGATGCAATCTTTTAAGATAACAATGCTGCTATCCACATTGTTTCAGTCACCAAACTTGATTATTATTGAACTTGTGCAGGGTATTCTCAAAATAAAGGTTAGGAGCAGATTTCCATCAAGGAATTAGCATCAGTATTGGTTGAAGAATGGTAGAAAATTGACATACTTATTAATATTGTTTCTGATTTATCTATTCCTCAACATACTTCAGCTGTATTATCTGCAAAAAGGAGTCCTAACCCTTATTAATAAACAAAAAGTGATCTTTCATTGATGTTTGAATTATTTTGTCCAATCCCTGTACGTGAATATGTTTTTATCTATTACATAGACAAATCCAGGGACGTGCCTGTTGCAAAACTCACAATTTGTGAAAATTATAATCACCTGGTGATTGGAGCCCTCAAATAAGACTGTTTTTCACAGAGCTAATAACAGAATGTGGATAGGTTTTGGTCCAATACAATTTTACTGTTTATAAACAAATATAAAGTTGCTTGAGAAACTCGATAATAAAAACTCTGCTGTTTTAAATGGACTCACCTGCCAATGGTGGAAGACGGAGAGACAGAAGGCTTGTCCCTGAGTGTGCGTCCGTAGGTCGGTCTCGAAGCCAAACGAATCGATGGCCGGAATGAAGGCCTTGATGGTGTAGAGCGGTGAACCTGGCACAGGAGCATCCTGTGTGACGTGGCCCCTGCAATTGACATGGTCTTTTATTAGAATTTTAATTTTTCAAAACTTACCATTTTTCCATTAGTCGCATTATGTTATGTTAAATATGTAACGTAACAAAAATTTACCTGCGGCGTGCCAGAACGGTATAGACTGCAGAGACGCAGTCGGCTGGAGCCTGGACTTCCACAAAATAATAGGGTTCCATGAGACGGGGAGTCGCCATGAGAAAGGCGGAGTAGGCCACCCGACGGGCGGTGGGAATGATCTGTCCTCCTCCCCTGTGTATCGGTTCTGACGCTATCACGGCATCCAGAATTTTGAATTTGACATTCCTGATTGCTGGAATGAAATTGTTAGAAGTTGACAAAAAGTATATAAATAGATCTTTTAACATTTTAAATTTAACAGAATTGAATTTTTTAAAGCTGAAAAGTTTTTATTGTTACATAAGTGTCCTAAAACTGGACATTTGCTGTGGAAACAATCAGCAACAACAGATGTGTGGAGACTGGATCATTAAAAGTTGTGCAGATAATTAATTTTTTACGGAATTCTAAAGAGAAATTATATGCATGACTTTTGTACACTAAGGATAAAAGAGGTTTAAAAACTGCCTGTTCCATTTGTTTTATACTACCGTAGACTAAAGACGAGGGCTTTTTAATAGAACAGTCTGATGTCCGGAGGCATTAGCCAGACAATCTGGGATCTAATCTGAGGGAGTATCTTTTCACAAATTTTTCACAGGTAGCAATCTCATACGTCGGATCCCATCGCAAACCACAATGGGTAGGGCAAACAATCCTCTCGGTGTCCATGGAGCAGAAAATTTTTAAAAACCCATCTTACAAATGTGGTTAATCGTCAAGAAACAAGGCCCGAGTGACGTATATCAAATTACCAGCTAAACTCTGTGGTTCTGACCCAGACTCAATTCAAATCCTGCCACCGTCTGGACGATTTAGCCAAAATAGAATATATCCATTACATAATCATAGTTTTGTTTTCTTATATCATTTTGTTGAATACTAAAACATGATACTTAACACGATAATTGTTATTAGTTTGAATTCTTTGAGCATTTCATGAGATTGTATGTTTAAATATTTATAATGTGACACTGTGCAAAACTGAAACATCGAGAATTATTCCTATTAGATTAATGCCAAATACAATTTTGTATCTTTGCATTAGCCAAATTTTAACCTCTGCATCTATTGAAACAGTTTGATGCACAAATGCCAGCATTACATTTGGATCTTTAAAGTTTTTTTGTATTAACCAATAAAACTAAAAAAAAAATTTTTAAATACATAAGTCAAAACTCTTTCGTCAGATAGCATTAGTAATGCTTTAAGTTGTAACTTGAACAAGTTTAGAAAAATGTGTGGTGTGATATATGAATCTGAAATTCAATTTGACATATTTGAATCCGAAATGCACGTCCTTCATGTTTGTTTACTATGCACTCCTAAGCCATTCAACTAATTGCTAAAAAACTTGGCAGTTATGTTAAACTACCTCTAATTTAGATAATGTCATATATATCATTTCATATATATCATATATATATTTTTTAGCAACTAATTGCTAAAAAACTTGGCAGTTATGTTAAACTACCTCTAATTTAGATAATGTCATATATATCACCCAAAAATATTGATGGAATTTCTATATATCGATTAATGTCTCTACATTCAATTTGCCGACTTTACACGTAGCATCATCTATTGGCAAAAAATTTTTAAAAATAATTATAATTCATGCCAAAAACGATATAATTTTAAAAATATACATATTCACTTAATTACTGTGACAATGATATAGTACAAAGTAGACCCACTATTACTGTGATGGATAGCAAGTAGCACTCACCTGCATGGAGTCGAAAATGTTACACTGTGAAAACTATATAAGTATTAAAAATCCAAGTTGTTAGATGTGGATAATTATCATTTCTGAATGGTATTTCAGTAGCAGAATGGATAAAAATACCACACACTAGTTACAGCAATCGTGGGTAATGCCTGGCCAACAAACTGGCCATGTGGAGTTTTCAGGATTTTCATCGTATTTGTAACACCTAAAAAGAGGCGTTTCCCTTAAAAGTCCTCCCAGGAAGCATTTCCCTTGGTAGTTCGCCCAAACATCGTGTCATGGTAACGAAATAAATCAAACTAATTCTAATAACTTTTCTATAAACTCACTTACTAGGACATACTTCCAAATTAGTTTATAGGCATTCTGATGTTTTTAAAATGGGTAATACCAGATACATTTTTAAAATTTATGATTAATAATGCCAAGTGTAACTTGCTGCCATGATTACTTTATAAAGCTGGGTGTAACAAGCTAGTATCACAACATTTCCCTACCTAAAATCCAATGAGAAAAAACATTGTAAATGTTGAAAATGTTTCTTCTTCAATGTTTTTCTCGCTAGATTTTAGGTTTGGAAGTATTGTTATATTACATATTGGTTAGATATAATATAACAATACTTGTTATATGTTCAGGATAGGGTTTCTATAACAAGCTAGTAATCGATAAAGCCTGTATAATCTATCTCTGTGGTGATTCCCTTTAGCAATCTTATGGTTGTTTCTAACAAATGAAAATGAGAATACGAGGTGATCAACTAACAAGTTCTCGTTGTATGCAAAGCACTTTTGTATAGCAGTAAATGAATACACATCTGACATACTGTGGCAAAATTATTTATTGATAATAGTTTAATATATAGTTTGTAACATTCATCTCCCATTTACAAAAAATGAATAATGTTTATAAGCATCTATGGTTGAAACTGTGTGTACGTCTTTGCCTTTGCATGAAAATTACTATGCATGTGTATTTTTTGGAATGAGCAATTCTCGTGTGCATTTTTCTTTTGCACAAATACAATAATGGAGTTTTTCCGTGATTCTTCGAGCAATTTGTAGGACTTCTATAGCCACAGTGAGATTTAGCATTGCTTTTACTGAAATTATAATATTGTTTAAAGTCACCACAAAAAAAGAAATAATCGGCAATTTTGTAATTGTGAATAAAAAACTGAATAGCAATTATTTGTTAATGTCACATCTTATATGAATTTGTAATATCTTATTTACAGTAAAAGAGCACTATTATGTTCCTTTCATCTGAATTTCTGCAATAATTCAGTTTATAGATACGCCTTTCCTTTTAATTACAGCAAAAATCTAGTTGGCAATTATTGGAGAATGATACTTTACTACTTTCAAATATTTTTATTTTTTTTTTATGCATAGTTAGGATAGAGAAAAATTATAACTTACGTTCTTCACAGAGTGGGCCTTCTCTAGTAGCCCACTGAAAACCTTGAATGATACTGTCCTTGACCATATTTAATAAGTTTTTGTCCACTTCGGAAGGAAGCGTGTCGTCTACCAGGATGTTAGGACCGGTTGAGTCGGGACCAAATGCCCAAATGGATCGAGACGCCAGGAGATCCCATTCGTATTTGGTTTGGAAAAATTCACTGAGAGCCTTACGATTCCAGGTGATCTGTACAACTTCATTTTCTAAGTCTTCGGCCAGTCCCTTCTCCAGAGGCTCAGCGATCATGGTGATTTTATTTCTGAAATGACAATTATGTTTTTAAGTCCATGTGAATTTTGTTTTAATGGAATTTAGATTGTGTACATACTTCTTATTTGGTGTTTCCGCAAAGCATTTCAAAGAAGAAGTCTCTACGACAGTTTCACAAAAGCAGACGACAGGATCAGCCACTTTTATGTCTGAAATTTAAGAGTATTTTTAGATGTCTACAGCTATATGAAATATAAAATATAAAAGTATTCCCGAATTACCTATTTCTGAATACATTTTACGTAAATCATGCATTACGCAATCTAAATAGAGTTCTCCAGTGCCGAGAACAACGTGTTCACCAGATTCTTCTACCTACAATCAAAACATATTTTTTCTCAATATCAAATGTTCCTTTTTAATTTATAAACCATTTTCATTTACCTTTGTACTTAATAATGGGTAAGATTTGTTGACTTTTCTGAGTCCATCCAACATCTTTGGCAATTCTGATGGATTCACAGGTTCTACAGCAATTTTTATGACAGATTGAGTGTTAAACTTTAGAGGGCGACAGATAAACAGTTCTTCTTGTTCACCAACGTCGACTATCGTGGCCGTCTTTACTATGGGCTGATCTATTCCTTCAATTAAGACCCAGTTTCCAGCAGGAACTCTACTTACTTCAATTTTATACCTATTTAACAATTTTCATACTATACAAACACTGCAATTTGCAAACTATGCAGTTGCATACAAGAAATAAATATTACTAACCTAGCTTCGTATATCCATAATCTTCCACAAGTTAAAATGCGAGAGTCTTCTTCATCTGTCGAAGTGTAATTTTCTCCAAGAATTCTGACATCCTGGTTGGCATGCAAAGTTCCACTCAGAATTCGCCCAAATACGTGAAAGCTAGTAGCATCATGAGTAGAATATTGCTTTGTCGTATGAACAACCAGAGGACCCTAAAAATTAAAGTGATTTTATTTAAAAAAAATCTCGATTAATATTTAATTACCAATGAAACTTACATCAGAACTGCACTCGGCCATTGAATTTGCAAAATCGGAACTACTGGATCCAGTGTAAATATGCTTTACTTTTGTCTTGGCATTTGCCGAGGGTGATGGAATGTGATTGACACACATATCCACAAAACCTGCAACATTTTATCAAAAATATTTGAAACTGTAATCCTTGATCTTATAAAATTTATGCCATACAGTACAAACCATTAAAATCCCCCATAAAACGAGTGCATATCAATCTGAGCAGAGGTCGTACATTTAATTTTGTTTCTGTCTTAGACAATTTTATGCATAATTCTTCCAACAACATTGGAAGAGCACTGTCAACATCTCCAACAACCTGAAAGTTTTAAACGATTAAGACAAGAAATTATATATATTTTTTAACATATTTTTAATGATTTTCACATTATATTTTACCTGAGCAAACAATTTATAAATTGGTTCTAAAATGAATTCTACAAAACTCCTTTGCACTGTACTGTGAGGTGGTTTCTTAGTAAATTTTCTCCTGCAAGAAGAAGCTAGTTTGTTATTTTGTAAAACATAAATTATTAAGTTTATATAAAAATATGGAAATTTGCTCACGTTTTACTATTAAAATAGATATCTCCCCATAATCTTCGTGCAAATTCGCTCGCATTAATACCTCCATAAGCCTGAGAGTAGAGTTGGGCGAAGGATCGTAAAGTAAAGCACATACTAAACTGTGAACTAGCAAAACACACATTTCCTAATAGTGGTGAAATCACTGGATGATCACTTTCGTCTGAATACATACTGAAATAATAATAATAACCGTTTGATCTTGAATTAATAGAGAAATAAAAATCCATGCCACCTTTATTTGGTATGTTATATTATGTTTATAAGCTTGCATAAATGTATATGTGCACCGAAAATATAAATAAGTGTTTCTTAAAACAATGTCTTTGTTTTAAACATTTTAATTTAATTTAAATGATTTTATGCTTTTAATCTACACTTTAATGTGTGTTTTAATAAAAGGTAAATATTACAAGAAGCTTTTCTTTTTAATTTGCAAAATACGAGTATAATATGCTTCTTTTTCTTTTAAAAACTCAAGGATCCCTGTCAACATATTTGCAGATTCAGGGGGATCTGCGGATCACACACTGTTGAGAAATCTGTTATCTGAATTATCTCAAATATCTAAATATGAAAATTTATACTGTTCAGCACTATAACTATTCAAAAGTTTCGGTTTTCAGATGATGCTTTCAATAATATCAGATAAAGAAAGCAATTAAGCATCTCAGAATGAATAGATTGATGGGAGAAGGCAATGCAACACTTGGACAATCTGCCAAGGAGAGATGCCTCCCAGAAAGACTTTCTGTAAGAAACTGACCCTATTTCAGTTTTAAATCCGTGAAGAAAACCTTTTAATCTGAAATATTTTTATGTTAACTTATGACTTTAGTATTGCATGGCAAATTGTATGGTAGGCCTATTTAATTATATGTTTTATTTAATTTGAATTTTTCAAACTATGTAATAATAATTAGTAATTGGTTCATAAATTATGGTTTTATTTTGTGTGTAATAATTTTTGGGAAAATTTTGGGTTCTGAAAATATTCTATACCACTTTTGCAAGTTGCCACATTACTTCTTGTTGCTACACTTGGTCAATCATATTGTGAGCAAAAAAATTCAACATGGTAGCCAAGAAAACAAATTCTGTTTTTTTCCTGACTTTTTGACAAATTCTCTGACTTTCCAGGTGGGTAGGAATCCTGTATATAGTTAATTAACTTACAAGGAGACAGCCAGATGTTCATTCTCTGATACAAATGAAACTTGTAGCCCTAAACTCTGATTCTCTGGTGAAACTCTGATTCAAACAAAACATCTATGCTAGTGTCTTATCCACTCAGCTATATCAATTATGAGAATTGAACCTTCCAAAGACTTATACTCAATTTTCAGAAGCCAATTTTTACGCTTCCTATTATTTGGATAAGGATCTGTTTGTGTATAGGGCTACATGCTTACCAAGTTTTGTTTGAATCAGAGAGTGAACATCTAGCTGTCTCCTCTTCAGTTAATTTATACCTGGCAATGAAAATTAGAAATATGAGTTGTTTCCAGCATATTGGAGTTATCTTGGAGTAACATTTTAAATTTTCTAATTTATAAAGTATAGATCTTTGTTTAAAGTAGGCAATTAATTAATTAAACAATTTGAATTAATACTTGAAAAATATTTATTATTGTTAGATATATTACTTAATCCAGTAGAAAAGTGAATGAATATAACTCATAAAATTTATCAAATAATTCTAATTAATGCTTCATTACAATTGAGGATTTAGTTACATTGATAAAATTCGGTCATGTTAAATTTACCTCAATAATCCATTAATTTCTTCAACAATATGTCTTAATTTATAATATGCATCTTGAGGAGGCAATTTTAATTCCATCATCAGTCTATCTATCTTGTTAATGCAGATAGTAATGGCGAGACGTTCTTGAACAGCATGTTTCAGTAGTCTTTCGGTATTTAGCATTACCTAATGGCGATTATTATTAATTTAATCTTAATTAAAAGTATTGTAACTAATCACATTAAATATACTTATTTTAATACTTACTCCTTCTGCAGCATCAACAAACAGAACTATTCCATCACACAATCTAATAGCAGCAGTAACTTCGTCAGAAAAATTAACATGTCCTATAATATTTTAGATGACATAAGAACAGGAGTTTATAAACTTATTTGAGAATAATATAATTTCAAATACTATACCGGGTGTATCAAACACATTCATTAAATATGATTTCCCTTTTAAATCTTGCAGAACAAAAGTAATTGGTGTGGCTTTGATGCTAACACCTCTCTAAAATAATAATAATAATAATAATACTTAATCATTATTTAAAAAGTCCATCTAGGCAATTACACTAATCTTTACGTGAAATTACCTCCTGTTCTGTATAAAGAGTATCTGTATATCTCAACTATAATGAAAAAACAAATACACCATTGAAGACAAATGTAACAATTTTAATTCACAACCTATGAGGTACAACAGACTTACCCGTTTTCCTTCTCTCGTTCTCAGATCTGGATGTGTTTGTTCAATTAAACAATCCACAAATGATGTCTACAAATGCAAAGAAAATAATAATAAGTTTGGGTACATACCTTCTTGATATTTATCATATTTAATTTTCTAAAATTTATATTAACTAAAAGAAAATAAAATTTAAAATAAGAACTAATCTCTTTTTATGGTAAAATACATATCGTCTATCATCATTTTTAAGATTTTATGAAGAAGAAAACACTTACTTTCCCGTGATGAAGGTGACCAACTAATGCAACATTTCTTATCAGGTTAGAATTATCCATTAAATCAGCAAGAAATCTGAAATGATATACGTATATAAACAATATTTTAATGTGTTTCAAATTATAATTTTATTGAAATTATTAGAAATTAATGAACTGTATTAATGAATGAAGCAAAGAAAACTGCTTTGCTTTATTACAAGTTCGTTCAAATTACAATGCAATGCTATTATATGCATAAAATTACACTTGAATTTGAACACATGTCTGTAGAAATCAAACTTAACTATATTTGAATTTTAAAAATTATTCTACATCAAGAATAAATAAAAACTAATAATTTTAGAATTAAAAACTTTGTGCATATCATATTCTTGATTTTAAAAAATAAAATGCAGTGATTTTAAATAACAGCAAAATCACTTCATCTTCCTATCTGTTCAATAATTTCAGAATTTAAAGCAGAACATCGAATTGAACAATTGGAAGCAGTCAGTCTAATGTTCTACTTTTTACACAGTTTATCACTAAATGTTTTTAACTTCTTTAAATATAACCAAGATTAATTTACTATAGTATATTTGTCATATTTTTATTTCTATAATAAAAAAACGTATCCTTTAATAGATCATTACCATCTACTAATTTTAAACAAAAATATTAAAAATTAAAAGCTAGTTAGCTTTCTTTCTTCAGTAACACATTGCACGAGGAACAGTTGATTTATGTATTTTTTATTAAAGGAAATGCAAAAAAACGCAACCTCATACTCAAAGATGATCCAAACTCTGCAGTAATCCTGTAAACTGATCACCAAGTCAATTACCCAACATACTCTCTAATGTCAATTGTAACTAACAATCAACCATTCTAAGGACTGAAGAAGGTTCATTAAGACCCATAATGCATTTCCTTTAATAAAAAATACATAAACCAACTGTTCCTTGTGTGATGTGTTACTGAAGAAAAAAATCCATTAGCTTTTAATTCTTTTTAAAGTCTATAAAAAACCAGTAACAGAAACCTAATTAAATTAAAAATTTAATTGAATATTTTGAAAAAAAAAATCAAAATTAAAAGAATATTTACATTTGGTTAATCAGATCATTGTGTACTATATTACTAGAGCCAGGGATTTGAACATTAAAAACAAAAAAAATAAAAAATACAATTAAGTTTTACTAGCAAAATGTATAATCATAGTAATACAATATAATCAAAGATACTATAGTAAATTCCATAAAACTTGTGAAGTCAAAAGCAATAACACCTTCTAGAGATCATTAATGATTATCGTTCTGCTTCTTTTTCAAAAATGGAGGTTAATTATTATCATTAATCTCGATAGTCAGCCTATCACTACAGGAGACCAGGATCAAATCCATGCAGTCAAAAAACTCCAAGAATTTTTTGGGGATGGTTTATCCAGATATGTCAAGCTCAGTGACTTGCTATCATTTCACTCCCATTGTGGTGCTGGCTGAACTCATGAGTATGAAAAACAGACCCTTTTAGTGTCCTTTGGGCACTAAGAGCTTGTTTTTCACATTCATGGTGTAAAGAAATATAATATATTTACATATACAGGGTGTAAAGCAAATTAAACCGACAAAATAAAATGGGTGGTGAAGGGGTCAAATATGGGAAATTTTGGTTATATGAACTGTACTTGCTACAGCCTATCTTACAAGGTACAGAGTCATAAACTTTTGGGAATGGTTGCTGCCCTATGGTAGACATACCAAACAAAGAAGCCTTATTGTTAAGCATTTGGTAAGGCTGTATGGAGTGCTGTTAATTCATACTGTTCTAAATACCATATAAAGTCTCCTGGTACTAGATAATTTTCAGGGCTTAAGCCTTGTATAGCAACTGATCATGTAGCATAGTCCAGATGTTAAGGCCGAGTTCACACTGCTGACAACAATGACAAAAACCTATGTTTTTATTGTTTGTTTTTTGTCTGTAAAATGTTCACACTATTATTATTGCTCTTTCATCTTAGTTGTTCAAATGTTAGCAACGTTTGTCGTTGTCGTAACATTACTGGCCAATCGATGTAAACTTCCCACAATTCTTTCAACAAGATGGAGGAACTGTTAATCTCTTGAGTTGAAGAAAGAGGGCCTATGAAACTTAATAAATGATCTAAAGTATTTGAGGACGTAAAAATAATTTTAAAAATCATTTGATGTCTTTTAATTGTAATTCCTGGACAAAAACATGGGAATCGCCTTGTTTTTCTTTCAATATGAATGGTATGATTACCATAGACATTTTGATATTTTCCTTAACAAAAGTAATAAATTTTTCTGTCAGTGTAGAAAAATTAACATTTTACTCTGTATATTCGATTTTAAAACAGACACAAGTCCAGTCTAAAAGTGCAGAAAGCCATGGAATAACGCAAAGCCTAATGTAAATTGCTCATATTCTAAGACAAAAACTAAGGAACAATATGAATGCTTTAGTGATAAACAAGTATGACTAAAGACATACTGTCATTATCGTTTAGGATCTATGGTTGTTGTCAACAGTAGTATAAACATAGCCTAACATGATTTGTCCCAATAATGCAGGCAATAGCTATTGTGCTTACTAAAGACTGTTGCTCCACACAAAGAATCAATAATTGTTGAGTCATCAGTTCTTCTCAAGCGAATTTCTCCATTTCTCATAGTTAACATAATGAAATGTCATACAGGTTTTATACCCTTTCCACAATTGGACAGTAATAATTGAAGAAATAAAAATTAGAATGACATCTTAAAAAAAATACAATTATTGTTTGAAATGTACATTTTCTTCCATCTTCAATGATCTTACAGAAACATTGCACTTTAATAAAGATATTTCCCTTTGGATTTTTATTCTTTATTTATTAAAACTATTTGCCTGACTACCACCTTTTTATTGCTAATTGTACTTAAAATTTGACATGAAATTAAAATTAGGTTATCAATAAAGAAGTAACAACTAACAAACATTGTCTGTTGCAATTCCAATTTTCACTTTTCTAAGATATATCTAGTCACGTTTATTAAAGCGACACACCAGAAAACAAGGTGCATGACACTGAGGTAGGCTTCCTACATTACACTCATGCTATGAAAGGCAGCAAAGAAAACTTACAAGCCTGTACCTCACAAGGGGACTGTGACAAGACCCAGTTTGTAGGATGAAAACTGCTATCTATTTCATTTTGTCAGGTCTAATTTCTTAATACCCCGTATTGTATATCCTAAATAAAATTTAATTTATGTTCAAATCCAATCAAGTTATTTTTATAAGCAATTTTTCAAGTTGAAATGTACCGGTAATGATCCATTACAAAAAGTACAAAATGTCTTTAACAGGAAGAGAGCAAGTCCCCCTCTAATCTAGATTATGCAATAAATTAATTAAATTACATTCTTAAAACTTTACAAAATACCAGTGGTATTTGAATTTGGGTATCTGTCTGACTTTAAAGTCATTTCGCCTAACATTCAATGTTGCTATTTGTTATTTAGGCTATTGTAAATTGCAACATAGATATTTTGTTGTACCGTAATAAAATTTTAAATAAAATATGGCTAAGCATTGAAAATCTGGAGTAACTAAGGGTGAACCCTATCTGGATTTTCAAATATACATGTAAATTAGCATTTAAGTACCATAAATTCCAAATACACTAATTCTAGTTTGTGTGTTTCACAGTATAGGAACACTCACGAAGATTCATAATATAATTTACAGATTCACAATACTTAAAAAAAACAAGTGTAATCGTAATTTCAAATTTAAAAAATTACAAACACTGAATAAATGTTAGAACATCAATAATGCAAGGCCAAAATAACAACAACAACTGATTGTTTATGCTATTTCAACCATTATCATTGAAAGAATCAATATCCATTTTTTGACAGCTGAATCCTGAAGTTTTATGCTCTAAATTTTCCAACACTATACTTTTATTTACCCACTACACTTTTATTATTCAAATAATTCACTGTATATAAATAAATGTTGGCATAAAAATTGACTAGTTTCTTCAATAAAACACTAAACAAATTCACAAAACTTACTCTAAATCGTATGTTGTATTGGGTAGATCCTGTTCGATGTGTGAAAATTTCTTTGATTTGATCGGAGCAATAATTGGCTCTGGAATAAAAGTAAAATTAATAGTCAAATCTTTTCATTTATTTTGAATTTTAGTCATTAATTTAAAACCTCTTAACGCCCAGTCNTGCTAAAAAACTTGGCAGTTATGTTAAACTACCTCTAATTTAGATAATGTCATATATATCATTTCATATATATCATATATATATTTTTTAGCAACTAATTGCTAAAAAACTTGGCAGTTATGTTAAACTACCTCTAATTTAGATAATGTCATATATATCACCCAAAAATATTGATGGAATTTCTATATATCGATTAATGTCTCTACATTCAATTTGCCGACTTTACACGTAGCATCATCTATTGGCAAAAAATTTTTAAAAATAATTATAATTCATGCCAAAAACGATATAATTTTAAAAATATACATATTCACTTAATTACTGTGACAATGATATAGTACAAAGTAGACCCACTATTACTGTGATGGATAGCAAGTAGCACTCACCTGCATGGAGTCGAAAATGTTACACTGTGAAAACTATATAAGTATTAAAAATCCAAGTTGTTAGATGTGGAAAATTATCATTTCTGAATGGTATTTCAGTAGCAGAATGGATAAAAATACCACACACTAGTTACAGCAATCGTGGGTAATGCCTGGCCAACAAACTGGCCATGTGGAGTTTTCAGGATTTTCATCGTATTTGTAACACCTAAAAAGAGGCGTTTCCCTTAAAAGTCCTCCCAGGAAGCATTTCCCTTGGTAGTTCGCCCAAACATCGTGTCATGGTAACGAAATAAATCAAACTAATTCTAATAACTTTTCTATAAACTCACTTACTAGGACATACTTCCAAATTAGTTTATAGGCATTCTGATGTTTTTAAAATGGGTAATACCAGATACATTTTTAAAATTTATGATTAATAATGCCAAGTGTAACTTGCTGCCATGATTACTTTATAAAGCTGGGTGTAACAAGCTAGTATCACAACATTTCCCTACCTAAAATCCAATGAGAAAAAACATTGTAAATGTTGAAAATGTTTCTTCTTCAATGTTTTTCTCGCTAGATTTTAGGTTTGGAAGTATTGTTATATTACATATTGGTTAGATATAATATAACAATACTTGTTATATGTTCAGGATAGGGTTTCTATAACAAGCTAGTAATCGATAAAGCCTGTATAATCTATCTCTGTGGTGATTCCCTTTAGCAATCTTATGGTTGTTTCTAACAAATGAAAATGAGAATACGAGGTGATCAACTAACAAGTTCTCGTTGTATGCAAAGCACTTTTGTATAGCAGTAAATGAATACACATTTGACATACTGTGGCAAAATTATTTATTGATAATAGTTTAATATATAGTTTGTAACATTCATCTCCCATTTACAAAAAATGAATAATGTTTATAAGCATCTATGGTTGAAACTGTGTGTACGTCTTTGCCTTTGCATGAAAATTACTATGTATGTGTATTTTTTGGAATGAGCAATTCTCGTGTGCATTTTTCTTTTGCACAAATACAATAATGGAGTTTTTCCGTGATTCTTCGAGCAATTTGTAGGACTTCTATAGCCACAGTGAGATTTAGCATTGCTTTTACTGAAATTATAATATTGTTTAAAGTCACCACAAAAAAAGAAATAATCGGCAATTTTGTAATTGTGAATAAAAAACTGAATAGCAATTATTTGTTAATGTCACATCTTATATGAATTTGTAATATCTTATTTACAGTAAAAGAGCACTATTATGTTCCTTTCATCTGAATTTCTGCAATAATTCAGTTTATAGATACGCCTTTCCTTTTAATTACAGCAAAAATCTAGTTGGCAATTATTGGAGAATGATACTTTACTACTTTCAAATATTTTTATTTTTTTTTTATGCATAGTTAGGATAGAGAAAAATTATAACTTACGTTCTTCACAGAGTGGGCCTTCTCTAGTAGCCCACTGAAAACCTTGAATGATACTGTCCTTGACCATATTTAATAAGTTTTTGTCCACTTCGGAAGGAAGCGTGTCGTCTACCAGGATGTTAGGACCGGTTGAGTCGGGACCAAATGCCCAAATGGATCGAGACGCCAGGAGATCCCATTCGTATTTGGTTTGGAAAAATTCACTGAGAGCCTTACGATTCCAGGTGATCTGTACAACTTCATTTTCTAAGTCTTCGGCCAGTCCCTTCTCCAGAGGCTCAGCGATCATGGTGATTTTATTTCTGAAATGACAATTATGTTTTTAAGTCCATGTGAATTTTGTTTTAATGGAATTTAGATTGTGTACATACTTCTTATTTGGTGTTTCCGCAAAGCATTTCAAAGAAGAAGTCTCTACGACAGTTTCACAAAAGCAGACGACAGGATCAGCCACTTTTATGTCTGAAATTTAAGAGTATTTTTAGATGTCTACAGCTATATGAAATATAAAATATAAAAGTATTCCCGAATTACCTATTTCTGAATACATTTTACGTAAATCATGCATTACGCAATCTAAATAGAGTTCTCCAGTGCCGAGAACAACGTGTTCACCAGATTCTTCTACCTACAATCAAAACATATTTTTTCTCAATATCAAATGTTCCTTTTTAATTTATAAACCATTTTCATTTACCTTTGTACTTAATAATGGGTAAGATTTGTTGACTTTTCTGAGTCCATCCAACATCTTTGGCAATTCTGATGGATTCACAGGTTCTACAGCAATTTTTATGACAGATTGAGTGTTAAACTTTAGAGGGCGACAGATAAACAGTTCTTCTTGTTCACCAACGTCGACTATCGTGGCCGTCTTTACTATGGGCTGATCTATTCCTTCAATTAAGACCCAGTTTCCAGCAGGAACTCTACTTACTTCAATTTTATACCTATTTAACAATTTTCGTACTATACAAACACTGCAATTTGCAAACTATGCAGTTGCATACAAGAAATAAATATTGCTAACCTAGCTTCGTATATCCATAATCTTCCACAAGTTAAAATGCGAGAGTCTTCTTCATCTGTCGAAGTGTAATTTTCTCCAAGAATTCTGACATCCTGGTTGGCATGCAAAGTTCCACTCAGAATTCGCCCAAATACGTGAAAGCTAGTAGCATCATGAGTAGAATATTGCTTTGTCGTATGAACAACCAGAGGACCCTAAAAATTAAAGTAATTTTATTTAAAAAAATCTTGATTAATATTTAATTACCAATGAAACTTACATCAGAACTGCACTCGGCCATTGAATTTGCAAAATCAGAACTACTGGATCCAGTGTAAATATGCTTTACTTTTGTCTTGGCATTTGCCGAGGGTGATGGAATGTGATTGACACACATATCCACAAAACCTGCAACATTTTATCAAAAATATTTGAAACTGTAATCCTTGATCTTATAAAATTTATGCCATATAGTACAAACCATTAAAATCCCCCATAAAACGAGTGCATATCAATCTGAGCAGAGGTCGTACATTTAATTTTGTTTCTGTCTTAGACAATTTTATGCATAGTTCTTCCAACAACATTGGAAGAGCACTGTCAACATCTCCAACAACCTGAAAGTTTTAAACGATTAAGACAAGAAATTACAGGCATACCTCGACTTACGTCGTTTCGAGTTACGTCGTTCCCGATTATACGTCGCTTGTTAAAAAAGTATATGGAAAAATAAAAATCAAGTTTAAGTCATTTTATTCGACTTTACGTCTGTCCGCCACAAATATTGAAGTCGTAATATCACTAGATAAACGTTTAAAGCACATAAAATCATATTAAAATATATACAA